AAAGTAAAGTGACCTTGGTTGTGAACGAATTAATTTAAGGCAGCCAAAATACTTACAGCTAATTGGCTAGTGAATTTGAGGTATATGACAAATATTTATTCTGTGCAGAAAACATTTGCTTTCATGCACACATGAAAATCAAATTTTTTTTAAACCATCATGGCCGGGTAATTGTATTCTGGCTTAATAATGTGCTGTCTATTCAGGCTTTTGCAAGTGTCCTTTCTTGTTTGAATCGCAGCTCAAGGTCAAAGGCTTGGAAGCAGTAAAACAAATTTGAATTACGTGTTTTGATCGGAGTTGGATTGTCTGGTAAAAGACAGTGTCTCTGTCGTCTTTTATCCTTATCTTGTCATCACGGGTATCGAGGATGCGTAATCGGGCTAGATTTCACGCAGCAGCCCCGCTCTTGTTTGAAACTACTTGCCAGGGGCCTGAACGAACCCAAGGGGGGGGTGACAGAGGAACTTAGTTGGAAATGAGAAAAACTCATTTACCTCTCTATCTTGGGCTTTCCAGCCAAGCCCGACGCGTAAACAGGCGGGATTGAGAGGCTGCCTGTTTTTATTTTTTTTAAGCATTCTGAAATATCTTATACCAGTAATCGATTTTTTTCTGATTTCGAGGCTCAATTAAGTTTATCTCAAAAGCTAATTAGATTTTGTTTTAGTTGATCGATCGCTTTTAGTGACGGGGCAAGCCAGCGAATGAAAAATCGTTGCTGCGAGTGACGTCTAAAACACACACCACAGCCATCCCAACTGTCATTCCAATTAATAATTTCCTTCGACGGAAAACAACAGTGCCACCGCAAACTTTTTCATGGGTTACATCCAAGGTCACCGAAACTAGATGATAAGTGTGAAAGTGCAATGTAGTTGTTGAAGATATAGTACATTTTAAACTCACCGCCTGGTTCTTTACTTAGTTTTTTTTGAGACGAACAAGGGATCGTGAAAGGCGGACATGTAGAAGTAGTAGAAATGTGTTGTCATGTTCGAGGACACTCAACAACATGCGCGGAAACTCATTAACAGGGAGCACCTTTGGCTTGGAGTGATTGAGTTGGCAAACTCAAGGTCATATCGCTCGACAAAAACAATATCTTTCAGGGTTGAATGTCACTATGGACTCAGTGGAAGTAGAGCGTAAAGGCTCGCCAGCCCGATCTACTGTGATTGACAGAGAAGATGATCCTATTTGTGATTTGAAACTGCGTGAGATGTGGGATGCGCGTTTTTTTTCAAAGTATTGATCAGCCTTACACCTTACAAACCTCACTGCCTCGCATGTGAATTGGTTATAGATTCTATTGGTTAAAATAACTCGGATTACATACCTACAGCGTGCCAAGTAAGCGTTGGAGCTTGTTTTAGTTAATCAACTCCACAAACCCCCCCGGAACCCAGCCGCGTGACCACATGTCGATTCCGATTTTTCAGCGCGTCGAATCCGACTGGCATCATGTTCCATTACACTGGGGACGTGTTCTTTTCGCCAAGTGAGTTCTGCCTGGCTTTTTATACAAGTTTTGTCGAGAGGCCATGAACACGACACCCTCCCTAACGAAGTGTCTCCAATGCAGTCGAGTTAAGGCAGCGGATGTGAAGGCGCACCTGTGTGCACGCAACAGACACACACGCACACAAACATAAGTCTCTGAGTTGTGATAACACATGACCTTGAAGCCCTTTGCGTACTACGCTGGAGTGTGCGTTGCAGTTCACACTAATTGCGAGACCCTCTTAATCACCAGCATGCCTATTTCCTACGTGGATGACATCTCAGATGGTAGCGGAGCATTCATTTTTGTTAAAATCCTTCGAAGGTAATTCTGCGCCAGCTTTGAAACCGTCAGAATATCTACATTGTAATACGCTTCTTGACACTTAGCCTGTCTACTTTGCGTGATTAAGCTTTTATAGTGGTACCGTTAACTACACCAAATTGAAACCGCGCCTCCTTTAACTTCACAGGTGGAAAGGCAGTCTGTACAAGCTTGTCTGGATTGATCTGACGTTGTACTTGTTCTGTTACTATGTCATCAATCTCACCTATCGCTTTCTGCTTCCACCCAGCCAAAAAAGGCAAGTTTCTAGTGAATTATTCGTTTTTTTGGCGTAGAGAACCAGCGCACATTTCACGCTGGCTTTTCATTTTCTTGCGTCTAGAACATTCGAAGATGTTGTGCGTTTCTGTGAGGGCATGAAAGGCAACATTCCAGTGTCCTTCCTGCTAGGGTTTTTCGTCTCTGGCGTGATTGGACGGTGGTACCAGATGTACATGTACATACCCTGGATGAATCACATTGCCTACGCAACAATGGTAAGCTCGGTTCGCCAATAGCCAATCAATATTCACCCACCAATCGCGTGATCGAGGCTAAGATTCCGTTTTTTTACATTAAGTCGTACGTAAACTGCGCAGACAAGGCTGTTTCCAGGGAGATCCGCATTTCCCTGATGCGATACCTCAATCTTGCGTGGATACTGCTGATGCGGCGTATCAGCGACCAGATTGCTGACCGGTTCAAGCAACTTGAAGACGAACCTGCTTGGGAGGGCACAGACGGATTTTGCCCGTCCAAAATTTGCCGTCTCCGGCAGCTCTCCAATAGGTCTCGCGTTAAGCGCCATCCATGGAGCATTTCACAGGTTAGTGAGTCATGAAGGCGATCTGAACTGGAGTATGTTCCATTGTGCTGCTTGTCGTCATGTGGGTCGCTGAATCTTTAGTTTCAGAACAATCAGCATAGCGTAAATCGCACACCTCGTACGCCGTTTGACGGGGGTCTGACCTCGGCGTATCGACAGACGATGATGGCCGACGAGTCTCCAGGTCTTGCCCTGCATGACGTCGGTGAAATGGACATGTTTCTGGCCTTCGAAGGCGAGGACGAGTGGAGCATTCGCAAAACCCTCCAAGAGTTCAATAAAGACCCGAGTAAACATTTCCGCTTCCCTTTAACTTCGCAGCAGCTCATTGCAATACGTAGGGCGTTAAAATCTCGCAGAATAGCCCATCCGAGGCACCAACATTCCTTTTGTTTTGAGCGGGTTAATTTTAGATTAATTTGAACAAATTCCGATAAATCAATACGCCTGCAGTGAGTCATCAATTAGCAGCCTAGGTTCCATTCTAAGTATTAAAACTGCAATTAATTAACCACCGACTAGTCTAAAGAAAATCGTTTCGACCTCCGCGTCTGCATGCAGTCAGTGCGCGATGTCTGCAAATAACCAGCTTTGCCTAAGGTTACCTTCGCGTTCTATTGTTTTAACTTGCAGAAATTCGTGAGACATTCGGCAAAATTATAACCGAGTCCGAAATCAAGGCATTTGAAGCCATTGCACAGTATTACTTCAAACAAACGCGCCAACGTTACCTCCCTGAATACTGGGTTCCACTTCAGTGGGCTGTGCGATTGGTCCAAAAGGCCGGTCTCCATGGCAACCTTCCTGATCCAAGAATGATTGGCTATATGTTCAAGGTCGGTTTTTTTCCCCAGAAATAGCTCGATTGTCCAGAAAGCACGAAGATAACTTTCAATGCATAAAAAAATTGACATGAATTTTGGTTTATAAATACGCGTGTTCCCAATTGGCCCAATTAGTCAAGCATTGATTGGCTGATGACCCATGTGAATCAAACCAATTGCAATGGACGAGGTCCACATCTGGAGCGTAAATAACATAACTTGAGTCAATACAGAAACTTCGCCATGAGAAAGTATAACAGCTAATAGCGTAGGTAATGCATTTACGTGGGAGTGAGTCATTGGGCTGGTACACCACACACATGATGTGCATGAATGATCAAATAAATCTAAACAAGCGCAATTCATTAATTAAGCTGATTTATTAATTCCCCAATAATCAATCCTTCCTCCGGTTGCGTAAAATTGCATTTTTACTTGTAGGAAATTGGTGATTTTCGTCACCAGCTACAAACACTGGAAGTATACAGCAGCATAATGATGCCCTTAGTCTACACGCAAGTGAGTTTTTTTTCAAAATCTAGTCAAAATCGATTAAATAGTGGTATTTGCTTCATCCAAGAATTTATTAAAACGTACTCTTCGTGAATGGAAGCCATTTTTTCCCAGGATCAGAAACGTCTGTCTGTAACTAGTTTAGTATGTGTACGATTTTAATCACAAAGTGAGAAACCGATTTAAATTTCTCAGGCCTGCTTTTATGGTTTTTCTGCAGGCATTATTCAATCAGAAACCTGTCATCATCATCATCATCCATAAGTGAATAAATAAGATTGCATTCTCTCCACGTCTCTCAGCAAACCAATCAATTTATTGATTACCTCCAGCGTCGGTGCAAATCGACCGCGCAGATTAAAGCTCTACTAAAACAACCATTCTTGTGCTTTCTAGGTCGTCATCATCGCAGTGTACAGTTACTTTGGCTGCGAAATTTTAGCCTCACAGTTTCTCGAAATGCCAAAGGTGAAGGGCGAAGCTGTCGTGGATTTTTTCATCCCCGTTTTCAGCATCTTCTATTTTCTCTTCCTAATGGGTTGGCTCAAGGTAGGAATTGTTCCCACTGTGCCGTGAGACTATAAAAGAATACCAAGCTCGTCAATTTGTTTTTATTAAATTAGTTCTTTTTCAGTAAAAATCAGGGCCCCTTAAATGCCGCTTTGTGGTATCTTTTGAAATTTCATTTTAAAAAATTAGTTCTATATCGATTTAAACAACCCTCTGCTGATAATATCGATTTTGCGTGAGCCTAGGTGGCTCTCTGTGTCATGAATCCCTTCGGAGACGACGACGAGGATTTCGAGACATCGGATATTTTGGACTACAACCTCGATGTGAGTTATCGATCGGTGCTGATGGAGGAAGCTACCTTCCCGGAGACACTTCATGAAGCAACCTTCGAGACGAAGCCCATGAAGGGCGTGGAGAACGACAATTTGAACGACTTCATCCAAAGCGTCATTCGTGAACGCGACAGCATCGATGGCACATCTATGACCAATGAGTAAGCTGCTACACCTGTTGAAATGATGGGCAATAATTGGTGGCATCGTTAAGAGTTCCTCTCAAACAGCAAATCGATCAAAGCGATCAAGAAATTATCAAACTCCACGTTCGCCATAATTACCTGCTCATCAGCACCTCTTATTGGCTAATGAGCATCACATTTTTACATTTTTTTCGCAATTATTAAGGCTGACCAACCTCGAACTGAAACAAAAATGCTGTAGTTGCTTGCCCAAACGGAAATCAACACGAAGGCATTACTCAGGTAAGGAATTTATCCCAATTTCGCGTCTGCTTGGCACTTTGAATTTGAAAAAAAACGCTCAAAGTTGATAAGCACATAACTGTTGCACAGCAGACGGTTTCTTGAGCTCTAGATGTTGCAATCAAGGTCAGAACGAACTCACCAATCAAAATGCAGAAGAATTTTTCGTCAAAAGATTGACGTGCATGGTGCCTGACTGGGCTATTCTAGAGGCTGGTGAATTTGTGGGCCTGGAATTTTAGCTAAGTTATAGGAGAGACAAAAGAAAATTGCGTCGAGAATGTGAGAAGTATATTTGCGGTAAACGACTGCGTCAAATGCACATTTAAAAACAGCTAGATGCCACAGAGGACGTGCACGACCAATGAAGTGACTGCAAATTAGGTCGAATGATATGGGGGAAAATTTATTATGTGCGGGGGGAATTACGCTACATTGCTTTTTCCTTGCAGATAGTGAAAGCGCGCCTTTGCCCCTGATTGTGAATTCAAATTCCGTCCGAAGAAATTCCAAGCCACCACCTGTGAAAGTCTAGAATCGTTGATTTTGTTTATCTTGTTAGTAATATATTTATATCCCTAAATTTTTTGATTTTGTGGGCTCAGGATTTCAGGAAGGGACTCAAATTAAAGCGCGCATTTTTTCAAAATGGAAGCAAACTCATGCCTTTTAGAGTTTAAGAGGAGTCCGTCGATGACTATGCAGACCACGTTTAAATCACCCACTGCACACGGCTTTATTTCCACCAATCCGCGTTTGAAAATCGTCCGCGTAACTCCGATTGGCCAGTTTTCCATTGCTGTTTGTGCGGTCATAGGATTGGTCGGTGAATGACGAGGTCATTTGTAACTTTGAATAACACCGCAACCAGCTTCGAGAAGACAAAGATACTTATTAATGTAACAGGAATAGTTTCAATGATATTTTCGGCTAGCCCTCAGATCTCTAGCGTTCTTATGCGAGCACAATACTTTTTAAAAGTTTAATTGCAGGTAAATCCGACAAGTAGGCTTTGAAACCTGCCACGCCATTGTGGATCCACCGCTGAAAGCACAAATAAATCGATGCAAACTCGATAATTTCTCATGCGGATAGACGCCCTTGTAATACAGCTGCATGAGCACACCTTAATTATTTTCCCACAGCATTCCGTGAGAATTTGAAAGGAGCCACTCAAACAGTTGACATAATGCCTGAGTCACATCCAGCGTTGTTGACCTTGCTGTTGATTAGTTCGCGAAAATGATTGGCTGGTTCCCAGTGCCAGGCATAGTGGTGCTGATAGCTTGAAAAATCTACATAGCACGGATTTTAAAAATGCAGATGTTTGTTGCGCGATTCCTTCCTATAATACTGTTATATTTCACAATGGTAACCACTCGTGAATTGAATAAAAGTATATAGAAGTATCACAAGGAAGAAATCATTACAGAATTTTCTAAAAATGATTGAATAAATTTTTTAATGAAAGTAAATACATAAAGAAAACGCATTAATATATGCCTATTCTACAACTCACCAACTACGAAGGTAGTCTGTCAAAAAATCAATAAACTAAATCGATCGTGGCCAGTAACCTAGCAACCAACATCTGACTACATAGGCGTAGTTTCAGTTAAACTACTGAAATGAGTATTAAAAGGTACACTAAATCCCTAATTTCTGCGTCTAGCGAGCAAACATTGGTCGCTTCTTTCAACTCAAGCCTTAACACCATTGGTGGGAATTCGTGACCTTGAGATTGGCGCTCTTAATCGTAGGTTAGACTTTTCACATGAATGCTCCATTGGTAATAACGACATTTCTTGATCTGGATTTATGTCAATTTCGTATCTGGAAGACATTTCTGACGGCAGTGGAACCTTCATTTTCCTTAAGATACTTGCAAGGTGGGTAAATCTTTCGCAGTTGGTATAATTGTGCGTTGATGCATATTAAGAAATCGTGCTGTTTCACTGAATATCGCTGTGCCAAATGTGTTTTGGCTACCTTAACAAATTATTCAGTTACTTGATTGACTATTTAAATCTGCTCCTAGATTGATACAAATGGGAAGTTCCTATTGGTTAAGACGTGACAACGATTCAAATGATTGGTCAATAAAATAAGATATCGAAAGTTAGGCTTTTCTAGTACAGTTTCGTTCATTTTAATATGCTTATTTGCATGACCCATCAAGGCGTTTAAAGTAAACAAGTTAATCACAGCTATGCCAGCTTAAAAAGACATCGACAGCTAAAAAAGAACCCCTTTATCCCATTAAAATAACAGTACACACACCGATTTTTTGTAATAATGGATTTCTACAAGAACAGGTGTTTGATTGGCTGCGTTATGAGTTACCTTGGTTCATTTAGACCTGCATGAGTTCCAATTACCATGAGGATTTATTAATTCCTGGCTTTGAAACACAATCATTTGTGAGTTTAAAAAAGAGTCAACACTACTAAAATTTTGCTCAATTACTTTCCCTTCCATTTTATTGCTTCAGATGGAAGGGCAGTTTGTACAAGCTCGTGTGGCTAGATCTTGTGGTATACCTCTGCGTTCATTACTTCATCCAGGCTATCTACTGGTTCGCCCTCAACCCCGAACAAAAAACGTAATTCGATTTTGTTTTACTGTTCCCATGTTTTTGACCTTGAGCTGCAATTCAAACAAGAAGGGACACCTGGAGAAGAATGAATAGATAACACGCCATTAAGCCAGAGTAAAATTACCGGGTCATGATGTTTCAAACAAAAATCGATTTCTACTTGTGCATTAAAGTAAATTCCAAAAAAAAACCAGGAATTCAAAATTTAGTGGGTGGTTTGTCACTACATTTCTAAGTTCCTTCATCATCTCTTTAATCGAAATTATCAAAGATATTAAGAGCATTTTTACCAATTACGACTCGATTGTGATTACAATTTACTTAATTTGCACCACTTCTAAAACCGAAATTATGAATAGTGATGCTTTCTCTACAGAACAGATGTCTGTCGTATATCTCAAATTCACTAGCCAATTAGCTGTAAGTATTTTGGCTGCCTTAAATTAATTCGTTCACAACCAAGGTCACTTTACTTT